AGATGATGGGATGATACGTCCTCAAACTTACTTGACAGATGAATATATTTAGTGAATGCGTTAAATTTTCCCCGTGGCTTTCATACCCAGAGAAACATTTTTGAAGTTACCTTCTGTGGTTTGCTGCCACCAGGTGTCAAACAAGAGAGCTGCAGCTCTCTAAGTCGGTTGGGCAAAGGCCGTTTCGCACTTGGGGAAACCAGACGCGGACTGGTTCTGAGATATTGTGTTGTGCCTACAATGTAAGGGCTAATCTTGCCAGTGGGGATGACAGCAAACCCTGAAAAATAAACAGCTTCTATTAAAACCAGCTAAATAAATTACACTTTCTCAAACAGAGAAAAACAGTTGATTAAAATTGGTCATTTGCTCTGCTGAAGAGAATGGATCAAAAAGATTGCTGAACACATCTTGTATATGCCAAAATTCATACGCAAAACTTTGAAACCATAGAACACAACCATAGAATTACAATAGTAATTACAATAGTAATTCTAACAAAAAAAGAATCAAGAAATGCTTGATCTTTTTCTTTACAGGTACATTATTATGTGGAGAATAATTTCAGTCTGAAAACACAGTGCTTAATTCACAATACCATGACAAGATATTATTGATTTTTGAAATTTTTCTCTGCATAGAACTATAGTGCTATATATTGTCTTTTATATCTTTATTTAGCTTAGAAATCAAACATTAAGTGGCACATATTTGCATTTCATCTTACCAGTGGTGTTGTTTTTCTGAAAATGCACCTGCTCTGAGAACATAACATGTAGCCTCAGAAATCTTGACTTCTTGGAGTCATCAGATTTGACATGATTCAGTGTCCCTATGGCTTGTTCTTTAATGATTGCAATTACATTTATTATAAAAGTCTACTTAATAGACAGTTGTACATACAATATATTTTGCAAACCCTGATTTGTGCAATTTTCTCAGTTAGTTTCTGCTGCAGTGAACCCTTATGTGGAATATCAGGCTCCTTAATTTCATTGCATTCATAGCAGATTGAAACTGAACTCTCACAAAGATGGTAACATTTTACTGCTGTGGCCAAGTAAGTTTCAATTCACGGAATTTTAATCGATTCAATGCATTTCAAATTAACACACTTTTAATTACTGATTTTGGTATTGAAAGACACAAAAGCACACAAATAAACATTTGGAGAAAACACCCTGACTACCCTCCAGACACCACTCCTCCCCAGCTTCTGGTCTCCAATTACCTCACTGCATGATGCACCTTCAGTGAGGTGATGGGAGCACATGAGATGTGAGTCAGATCCTGCTCCTTGTTTTTAACTCAATTGTTCAGGCATGAAAGAACCCAGTGGCTGCAGTCCCTCTGGGGTCATACCAGCTCCTCAGTCTCCTCTCAGCTCACCCCTGAGCTCCTTCCTGCTCCTGCTCAGGCCACCACCACTGCCCTCAGCCCTGTGCCCTGCTCAGTATGACACTCTGCTTCACCATTACTCCTGTCCCTCCAAGTCCTGGCGTTGCTTTTCCTTCATCTCGGCATTTATGACCCTTTCTTACTCATGTTTTCACAGAGACACAACAAATGCCTCTGACTGGTTCTGTTTCTGACATGGAGCCAGGTGGACACAGCCATGTCCAGCACAGGGCCGTCCTGACCTTCTTCCTTAGAGTGCCCCTGCAGCCCACACCACAGCCCATTTGCCAGCCAGATCCCAGATAGCCATTAACCACCTCTCTGGTCTCATAAAGAGTGATACTGAAGGAGCTGTGAAGGGAGCAAGCATGTCTCCATCAAGGCACAGTACTTCAGCACTCCGACCCTGTGGCCTTAAAGATTAGATTCACTCCGCATCTGTTCTCCTTTAACTTTCACTGAATGGTTCAAATAATGTTTTTAGATGACTAGAGTAAGTGTTCTTGACTTTTCTTCATGAAAAATTTGTTGTTGCATATTATTTGCTTAGCTTCTGATATATACATCATGAGCAACTACAAAGTTGTGACTGCCATGACCACTTAACTCTTAGCAGAATGGTAGTTATTAATTCAACATAAATGTGTTATCCTGGTCTAATACCAGAGTTCCACAAAAACTCATTTGGCACCAACTGGCACATCAGGCATTGACTGCTTTCACCTTCCATCATTATCACCAAAAACTTTGCAAAGTCACCTACACACCCAGAGTGAAACTCCTTCAGCAAAACAAAAGAGAAAAGCACACCTGCTATGTTCAGAGAACATTTGCCTTTATAAAACACTATAAATACCTTTTTGCACTACTTCTGGAAGCCCATCTGGCTCGAAATGTGTGTCCTCCTGACCTAGCAGATTCTGAGAGATATCACACTTCTCTTTCTTTTTGGATGAAGTGTCTGGTACAGGGGATCTTCGTTTTCCATTACCTTTCCCGTTGTCTTCACATCTCTGCCTTTTTCTTGAAAGCTTAACAGTGTCTTCATCTGACCTTATCTTTTTGTCAGACTGATTGCTCACTGTTAATGAGTTATCTGAATTCAGCAAAGAAGTGCTGACAGCATCACTTACTGGCTGTTTCAGCTGAGCAGTCAGCAAACTGACTTGTGTTCTTAGCATCTCATTTTCTTCCTCTAGTTTATCATATTTAACAATTAGAGAGCAGTATTTCTCTAAGTTCTCATTTGCTTCTCTGGTCTTCACTTCCATAGATTCCTGTAATTCTTCCAGTTTTAAATTAATTTCTTCTGTAATGGCACTATCATCAGCACCTTTCAAAGAAAAACATCATTATTCATATAACTGACATAAAAATGCATATATAAGAATTTATAATGCAATAGTCACATCTTTTAATTATACAAGTTCTATAACAGTGCAACTATAAAAAGAGACAGCGTATAAGAAATTCAGTAATATGATAGACATAATAATGTACTTCTTAAATAGAAAACAAACATGCAAACTTGGAAAAAAATTCTTGACCAGTGCATGGGGAACAAAGCATTAAATAGAAAACAAACATGCAAACTTGGGAAAAAATCCTTGACCAGTGCATGGGGAACAAAGCACGAGAATCAGAGTGAAAAGCTTGCAGGGAAATGAGAGAACAACATGCACACAAATTTTAGTTATTAATAAAAACATTTCCCTTCTTCCTAATGCCACTTTTAGCCATAAAAATGTGATATTTAAAATATTTAAAGTATGTATTCAGAACCCAGAGTTGTCTCTGATACCTCAAGAGAGAAAAGATTAACTAGATTTTGAAAATGCATAACACATTTGCAGTTGTAATTTTTTTATCCTAGTTAAAAATCATGCTCTGTATTAGAGCTGCATATTCAAGTGGACACTTTCAGGAACAAGAAAGTTCTACAAAGTAATGCACTACTAAGAAAGCATTAAGACTGATGTTACCTTCTTTCTTATGTTTTGACATAGTTAGATTTTTCTTCTTTAGTAGTTCATCACATTCAACTAGTTGTTTCTCCAACATTTGCTTTTCCTGTTCCATCTGCTTACAGGAGTTCATCCATAGCTGCACTTTACTGTGGGCAAATTCATTTTCCTTCTTCAGCTGAACAATAATGTTACTATTATCAGCCTAAAAAAAAGAAATTTAGTTATTCACCAGAAACCTGGCACTCACCTTATTGAACATCAAGCTCAAATGTAACACAGTATTTGCTGTAGAGCACAGTTGTAATGTATATATGTTTGTTTGTTTCCATACACACTCACTAGAGCAGCTCCTTTAGTGCAGGAAACATGAAAGTCCTCTTACTAGACAGGTATGTACAGGTGATTAACTCAAAACAAAAAAACTAATTCTAATACCAATAAGGGAGAAAAACTCTTCAGATATACCAACAAATGAAGAATGTTCAGATTACTGATGTCAAGACAAGCATGCTCCTTTATGAGAAAGCTGTATGAGCTCCAAAGAAGTTTGTTGTCCTTTTTCCTCCTGACACCATTTCACTGATGTGGCATAAGAAAGTTCTGCTTTCCAAGCAACAGATTTCAAACCAATACTTTGAATTTTAAAGTGCTCTCTCCTAGTCTGAGTGTCCTTATTTTTCTTTTCACTCCCAATGCATCTTATTAAATAACACAGAGGCAAGACAACTCCAACCTGCTTTGCACTCTACATTCCAGCTCAAAAATAGTATTCTGAGCAGCAGCAAATCATTCCTTTCCACCCACTCCACTCTCCTGGGCTGCTCCCTGCTTATCTGCTCTGGTACCAACCTGTGTGCAAACACCAAACAGTGAGAACAGCTGGAAGCCTTCTATGCAACATTTACACTACCATGGGTACTGTTTCCTATCACTGGCACACATCCTACAGTACTTTATGATTGGACTGCTGTTACTAAACAAATTAACACCACAGTGGAAGGCCCTAAGAATAAAGAACTGTTGGGCAAAATGAACACCTTGCAATTCAGTGCTTACTTGCAAGCAAATAGAATTGGCTGTGTTTCTTCAAGAGTGCATTTAGAGATCTACTTAATCATGAATTGGAAGTACAGAGTTGGAGCCAGAAATCAATCACAGACTGAAGCAGGACAAATATAAGAGTAAATCAAAAATGCAGGGGAAATTAGTACAGAAATTCAGTTATATAGACAGTTCAGCTTCACTTCTACTACTAGAAAGCAAGCCAAGTACATTTAGAACGGTTCCCAGCTATCAGTGGTTCACAATATGTGGGTTTCATCTTGTAGCATCACTGAGAACAGTTTTGTCTTTCAGAGAATTACACTAGTTAATAATAGTTATGAAAATTCTATATAAAATGGAACCGATAAACTCGCACAACTCGACCAATATATCAAGACTAATGCTTCCAACAGAACATGGCACCTTTTACCATCAAAGTAATTCACAAAAAGAAAACAGAGGCCCTGCTAAGTCTCTTTGAATGAATTCTAACTGCATTTTAACTCAGCTGCAATGTACAGTGTAGACAATAGACTGCTGTGTTTAGTGTCACATGAACCAATTCTAGGTGAACTCAGTCGTGGCAAACATAACAGAATTTTTCTAATGTAGAACAACAGTGACAATGTTTTCTCCATGCTCTATGTTCTCATTAGCAAAAACAAAGGCTCTATCAAAGTCAAGTCGATGTTCTGGAGTTCTGGTTGCCAAGCCTATGTTTACAAAGTCAAGTCGATGTTCTGGAGTTCTGATTGCCAAGCCTGTGTTTATTTTACTCGATAGTGCCTTGGATCTCATGGAATTGGCCATGTTTATGGGTTTTTTCTTACCTTAGTTTTTAAGAGTTCTCCTAATGCAAGATTAGCTTCTTTAAGGGAATTATTTAGCTGTTCTTTATTTGACTTCAAATGCTCAATTTCCAGCTTTTGTGAGCTGATAAAGTGTTCCAGTGAACTAATCTTCTCTTGACAGGCCTCAATTTCTGCCTCCTTTTAAAGAAAAAAAAAATGTGATTTCTGCCTCCTTTTAAAGAAAAAAAATGTACCTACTTACTGTGATACCAAAAAAGGATATTGAGTTGTATTTTAAAGATGTACCTCAGAGCGTATCACAAACACACAGAAATCCCACAGCAAATTTAATAGGTATGTTTTGAGGAACTTAAAACTGAAAGAGCAATTTGTCTTAACTATACAGTTTTTACACTAGAATCTTGCCTCTAAGAAGTCTGCCATTAGAAAGACCTTATATTTTACTATAACTTGCTCTTACATCTACTTTATATTAACAAAAATGAAACCCAGTAAGAATTAATTATATTAACTTCTTTGCCTGTATCCTACTGGCCTTAAGTACATGTTCATAGACATTTCTGCAGAAAAGTTGATGTCTTTCTTTATATAGCATGGCTGACAGATGTATTTCCAACAAATTTGCCCTTATGTCCTGAAGTGGTTAAACTTCCTTCCCCATTCCTACCAAAACAATCCTTTCCAAGCCTAAAAAACATACTGTTGCCTTCCCTTTTTCGAGTTTATAGTCCCAGATAAAACTATGTATAGACTAAATGCTTACTGAGTTGTGACATTAATTCACCTTTCACTGCTTCCTATATGGAAAAAAGTTAATTTAACACTTACTGAGTTCCAAAGTGAGTATATGTAGAGTTTGGAGACATTATTAGCAAAGACAATTTCTTTTGCAATAGGACCAGCAAAATTTTGTTAAATATATAGGATTTAATTCAAAACTCATAACATCACTCTTCCCATTTTCTGATTTACCTTTAGATTTGCCTCTCTCAGAGCATCCTGATGGTGTTTCTCTGCTTGAAGTAATCTGTCTTTGTATTCTGATATTTCTCTTTTCATTTCACTTTCTTTTTCTTGTAGTTCATTCTGGACCATCTCCAAACACTTAGTCAGTTCATTTTTTTCTGACATAGTTAGATGCAGCTGAATCTGTAAACAGTAATAGCACATAGTATTTGGAATCATCTCAATGGAGAAACAGCTGACCCATTAAACTATGGCTTAACATCTGAAGCATCTCTGAATTTCCAAAAACTTGGTAAGAAAAAAGTATTTAACAGTGGGTAAACACAGTGCAATCAAAGAATAATATATCTGAACACTAAAGGTAGGACAGGAGGTGAAGAAAGGTTTTCTAAAACAAAACCAAGTTGCAAGTTCACCAACACTGTTAAATCAGGCACTGCCAAAAAACAAAGTTTAACCTCTCCAAATATTGTTCTGTCTGAGAGTGACTCAAGAAGTAAAGGGTCACTTTCCTCATGGTCTTTAAGAGGACAAAACTTTTTAAACATTTTCATTTTGATCCCCTTTTATAACTGTACTTTTTAGACAGCTGGCTTGTATTTTCATACAGGATTTCTGAAAGTTGCAGAAATCTTTTCTTTTCCCACCCAAAATCCTCAACTCTAACAGAAAGAAGCTCATGGTTGTAAAATTTTGGAAATAATGTTAATAGGTCAGAAGATCACATAAACTAGTTTAAAGACATAATATTGTTCACAAATAAAACCTACCATTGTCTAGCTGATAAAAGAGCCTCTAAGAACTAAATGTGAGCAAATTAAAAGTCAGGGTTCTAAAACTGCTTCTTTCTTGACTTTGTCCTGAAAGTACTTTAGCACTACTGAAATACTGTAAGTAATTTAGTTTTAAAACAAACTTGGAAAATGCTACATTTTTTTAATCTGACATCCTCAGTCTGATGACTGAATGCCTGTAGTAGAGACAATTTCTCAACCCTGAAAAATTTTTAGCTATCCACCTGTGGCCTTTACACCAAGAAAACATACTTTTGGTAGAAGGAAATGGAAAAAACTATTAACTAATCATTGTATCTCAGACAAGAACATTGAATTTTTTGAAATTTGAAAGCAAGAACCTCCAATACTGTACATCATCACAGCTCCCTTGGCCAGCCTCAACACATTTACTTGATCATACAAATGCTGGAGTAACTTACTTTGTCCTTCTCTGAGTGTTCTTGAATACATTGTATTTCTTCAGCAAGCTTATTTCTTCCTTCCTGTAATTCAGAAATCTTTTGTTCAGCATCACTTAGCTTGACTTGCAGCTCAGTACAACTTTCATTCAGTTCATTTACCTGAAATAAAATTTTCCAGAATTATTTTTAATACATGTCACAACATCCAAAGAATACTTATATGCATCAATCAGTTTTTAAGATGAGTTATTTTATTCCCACAACCAGTCCAGTTCCAAGCAAGAGTCACAACAGGGTAATGATGTATTCACATGGCAAGTGTCCAATGGTTGTTTCACTTTCTTTTGAGCTTCCAAAGTATTTACTCTTGATATAAAAGCTCTTTTTTTTCTTCCTCTTTCTCTTCTACAGGGAAGAGGAAACTATCCTGCATCATTTGATTGCTTAAACTTCTATGTCTTCTTGCAAGACACCTTCCCATTAATCCTATGCAAAACAATGCCATGCTTTCCAGCTCTGTAACTTCAATGAAAACTCATGAGTGTACTGAAAATGTCATTTTAAAAATAGGATGTTTACTGTAAAAGCCTGAGGTTAAAATTATTTTCAGATATAATTTCTTAAGGAAGCAGTAAACCCAGAGGGCACTTTATCCTCACACTCCTAAAAATGGAAATGGTATTACCTTTTTACATAAAGTGTTCTTCTCATGCAGTGTAGATTCCAGCTCCTTCTCAAGGTCCTTATAAGACATTTTTAGAACATTCAGGATATCCGGAAAGGTTTCATTGTCAGAAAAATGTTGCTCCTTGAGATTCAGCTCAGCAATCAAATTCTGCAGCCCTTTTTTTCCCTGGTGCCAATGTTCAAGCTCATGGTGCATCTGCGTCAGCTGTAAAGACAGTTCTTCTGTTTCTTTCACCTGCTTTTGAAGAGCACCATTTTCCTGCACCTTTTCTTCAAGCTTTTGTTTACAATCCATCAATTCTTGAACAAGTACTTCCCTCATTTGATCTAATATGATGTTTTCATTTTTTATTTCCTGACATTCCTGTAACAGCATTGTTTTGTCTTGCTCAAGACAAGCCACCTGATTAATCAAGACTTGTTCTTTTGCGGTAGCATCTGCTTCTGCCTTGCATGAAAATTCTAATTTCTCACTCATATCTTTGAGCTCAGATTTCAGCAATGCCACAATATTTTCAAACTCATCCTTGATTTGCATCTTTTCTTTTTCTTTTGAGAGTTTTGCTGTAGTCAAATTCGAAGACTCTAGGATTCTTTCTTGCTTTTGTTTAAAATCATTAACCAAATCCTCTTTTTCTGAGGTGAGGACATCAATTTGTAAGTTAGAACATTTCAGCTTTTCAGTCATTTCTTCCATCTCCATTGTTAATGTTTCTGTCTCTGCTTTTGCAGTCTCCAACTGAATAATTGTATCTTCTAGTTTTATCTCACACATCTCCAATTCTCTTTCAAGCCTCTCTATTTTATCCAGAAAAGAGTCAGCTTTCCTTTCACTCTCTTTCAGCTTTTCAGCAATGTGACATTTTTTCTTCTCATCAGATTCAATTTTTACTTTCAGCTTCTCAATTCCACACCGCAATTGGCCTAATTCTTTCTGTGCTGTGCTAAGTCTTTCAGCAAGTTCATGTTTTTCCATTAACAAGTCTTCCAAAGATCTAGAAAGCTTTGAATTTTCCATTTCTGATGAACTTAATTTATTCTGCATGATTTCCAACTCTCTGGCAATCAGCTCTTTCTCCTCCTTCAAATCTGCTGCTTCATTTTGGAATTTTTCTTTTTCTAAAGCAAAGGACACAGCACCATTTTCTAAACTTTGCAGCTTCTGAAGAAGATGATTTTTTTCATTTGATAACTGACTTACATCAGATTTTGCAGTCTCGAGCAGATTTGCTTGCATCCTCACTTCACCCTCTAACCTTCTGATGATTTCAGTAGACTCCCCCTTGGTGTACTCTAACTCCTTTAATTTCTCTTGTAGATTTTGATACTGCAGATCCAGTTCTTTTTTATTTTCAGACAAAATACTCAGTTCTTGGCCAATATGGTTTCTCTCAGCTGTGACTGAGACAAGATGCTCTTGAAAGCTAGAAAGAGTTTTCAAGTTAACTTCCCTCTCCCTTTCTAATTGCTGACATTTTGCCTGAAGCAATTCAATGTCATGCTCTGTCAAGAAAGCATGGTTCTCAATACTAACTTGCTCAGATTTTGGACTCTTCTGTTCATTTTCAGCTGCAAGAAATTGTTTCTGACAATCTCTCTTGGTCATTTCTACATCATCCAACAGGTCTGCTGCATTAGACAATGTAACTTTATGTATCTCCAGCTCAGACTTTGCATTCTCAGGTTCTTTTTCTAACGAGACTACTCTAAGAGATAATTGCTGCTTATTGACAGAAACTGATTCATGTTTTTCCTTTATGTCACAGTTTTCTTTCTTAACTACAGTAACTTCCTCCAGTTCTGCAAAAGCTGAGCTCTTCAAAGTTACTTGTGCGTTCTGAAAGTTCAGCTCTGAGCTTGATTGCTCAACTTTCATTATTATATCACCATGGGTTTGGTTTTCTGCTGTCTCATAGATTAGCTTCAAATTTTCAGTAGTCTGTTGTTTTGCCTGTTCCTGGATCATTTCAGTGGTTATTTGATTTTCATAGAAATACCTAGCACCCAAAAACCTACTGCTGGAAAATGACAATGCATTGGCATGGTCTGAAGGGCTGGTTATTTCTCCTGATATATTTATACATTCATGTTCTCCAGAGATCTTGCCAGTATAATCTTCCATTAATCTTGTTTCAGTGGTCTTGGTTATATTTTCATACACAGACTTTTCTTCTGCAGTCATTTTCTCAATAGGGATTAGTTTAGAATTACTGTTTTTCAGAGCCAAGTTTTCAAAAGGAACTCCCAATTGATAAGAACTATTGTTTTCTTGTTCTGTGTTCTGCAAGGATTAAGAATCAATCCATTAAAAAATAAGGGAGGGGCAGGAGGAAAAAAGAATACCTTTGAGGAAAAGAACAAGGTGAGTTTTAAGTTTTCTTAAACTAGCAAAGCTCCTGCTCTAAATAGACAGCACCCTTGTCTACTTCACAGTCTGCTTTTTCTTGTGGAAAGGATTTACACCTATTTATACACACATGCATCTTTGGCCAAAAGGTTTTAAAGGCACTGAGGGAGAAACTTCAGACAAATTTACTGAAAGACTGAGTGTAAAGATACCACATACCTCTGTATTTTTGGAAAATAGGTGTCTATGTAACTAACTATTAGTATTGCTAATGGTACCAGAGAATCTTCAAGGGTCAAGCCCAAATCCTCAAACAGTCCCTTTTCCAAATTACCACTGTCTGTCAGAGCTGGGATTGCATCTGGCGCCACCTGACGATCTCATTTGAAACAATAAAAATGAGTAATCGCAAAACTTGAGGACTCCAGAAAACAACTACAACTAAAGGCAGCACACCTCAATGATCTGTATTGCACACTTCATCTTAAAGAGCTCCAGCAATATATGGCAAGGAACATTATTTCTTTTTGCAAATGTCTATGTATCAGTGTGGATGCTCCCATGGGAATTGCAAGTCATACAGTAAAACATTTTCTTCTCTGCTCAGATTTGCACAGTTGCCCAAAACTTAAAGCTTCAAAATGCTCTGTGGGAACAGTGTTAAACTTTGATTTGTGAGTCTATGTTGACTGGGCACTGAAAGCCATTTGCCCAAGAAATACTTAATGGTCAAGCCTGGAATTCTTACAGGCAGAAAATGCACCTATTCAATTTATATTTAAGGGGAATTAGTCTAATACACTATATGCAAGAATGAAACTTTTCCATTCTGAGTAAATTTTGATTCTGCCACTCCCTACAAGGAGCAGCAAAATCTAGTTCTCTGGTTGCACACCACCGACAACACTAAAAAAAAAAAAAAAGGTGACTCCCAAATTTCTTGTTCTCTTAGGTGTTTTGAAGGAATTTAGGTTGAAACTAAAATTAACTGCTCTTCTACCAGCTCTTTCTGTTCTGATGATGATGATACTGAAAGAAATTAGAGGTGTGGCAGCAGTCCTAGTTTGCTTGTCACACATGAAGGGATATGGGAAGCAAGTGCATCTTTAAACAACCATGTTAAATGAGAGATCTAAGTGTTTAAGCACAGTGCAGACACACACAGTGCACGTACACATTAAACACATTTAACTTCAAAATTTAAATTTGGCTGACCATAAATCAGAGGGTTTACATAAAACTGACATGCATGACAGCAATTACTTACATTTTCGGTATCCGTGCACAGCAACGAATGAGAACTTAAATCAAGGACTTGTAGTTGCAATCTTGCTGCTTCCAGCTCCAAAGACAGAGACTCAGTTTGTTTTCTTTCTGCTGCCACTCTGCCCTCCATCTCCCTAGTCACATCATTCAGTTTTTGCTGCCATTCTTCCTTGTCAGATAGATTTTGCTGTTTGAGATGATCTATTTCTTTTCTTTCAGAAAGTATAACTTGTTTCAGCTCTTGAATTTCCTCATTTTTCACATTCTCTTGAACATGAAATTGATCTTCAAGCACCTTGATGGCCTTCTCATATGTCTGACACAGCATCTGAAGTTCTTCAATTCTATTTTCAAGGTTAGATTTTCTAGGGCTAATACTCCTGAGCTCACTAAGAGAGTCCAATTTGTGATTGTTATGACAATTTTCAAACAAAACTCTAGGTGCACATTCTGGAAGTACCTCTGCAGAACTGTCCAGTTGATTCATTTCTTCTGTCCATTTGCATGTACCACTGTTAGAAGAATCAACCTCCTCATTTACTTCCATAAACCAGGGATTTCTGCAAATATCTGAGGAACAAACTGTGGACTTAGTTTCATCTAATTTAGATGGAGTGTCATGTTGGCTAGAAGACAGTGACACTCTCACAGAATCTATATGAGCATTGCTCAGATTTGTTGACAATGCAGAATTTTCTGCCTTCAGTATTTCAATGCAAGACTGTAGCTCACTTATCTTTGAGTTCATACTGCAATGCTGTTCGTATAATTTTATATGTTCATTTTGGAAAGTCAAGAACGTGTCTCTTACTTGAGTGAAGCATGTCTGAACTTCTTTACTGGACAATTTTAAATCTTCATAGTCAGAACTACTGCATTCTTTAAGTCTGAAGGACATTTCCTTATTATCAGAATACATGTTCAGATCACTGTTATCACTTCGATTCATAAATTCATTAGGAAAAATAGCTTTTATACATGTTCAGATCACTGTTATCACTTTGATTCATAAAGTCATTAGGAAAAATAGCTTTCTCCACTTTTAAATGTTTATCTGCATTCATTATGTTCTCTTTCTCCTCTGCCACTTCATTAACACCTGTGATGCCATTGGCTTCTGCATCTTTAAATCCAGAGGCTAATACAATGTTCTTGCTCTGCAGCCTCTCACACATTTTCTCAAGCTTGTTCAGGTGGTTTATCATTACCTGCAAAGAAGATGCCAGCATGACTGATGAATAACTTTCACCCATTTTTTTGCCACAATTCTGGGAAATGTTATCATAATTATACTCCAATGAGTGACCATCTTCCTCTAACACTGTAAGCGAAGGATCTGAAGTTTTCCCTCCTTTAACAGACAGTAGTTCCTGCTGCAGTCTCTCTTTCTCTCTCACGCTTTTCTCAAGTTCTATTTCCATGCCTTTTAAAGCAGTCTGCAGTTGCATCAGTTCTAACCTGTAGTTCTCTAGGGAGAGTTCACTGTCCTCAAAATCCATTTGAAGAAGCTCAAGTTTAACTTGGTATTTATTCAGCTCCATGTCCTTTTCTTCCATGGTCCTTCTCAACCATTCAGAACAGAGTGTCTGTTCACAACTAATGTCACACATTAGAGGTTCATTTTTTGGTTTTAGTCCCTTCCCTGATTGCTCCTTGTCTTGAAATACAAGGCCACATTTCTCTTGCATTGTATTTTGTGTTGCCTCAACATTTAACATTTCCTGACTTAAACAGTCAAGCTCCATAGAAGGCACATGTTGGATATTGGAAAATTCTGAGTGCAGCTGCTGAAGTTCTTGAACCAAACCCTTTTTTATTTCTTCTGAGGCTATTAGCTGATGTAAAATATCCTTATTCTCACTAAGTAGCTGTTTCTCTTGTTCTAATTTTGCTTTTTTTTCTTCAAATTCAATTGTCTGTGTTCTCAGAACGCTCATGATGTTTCCATTTTTTTCATCTACCCATTTATACTTTGCCTGCAAAACTTCAAGCTTTGCTTTTATTTCTTCAGTTCTTGATTCAATATGTTGTCTTTCCTGCACATGTTTTTCCGACATTTCAGAAATTATTTTTTCTCTTTCCTTTAAACTCTCAGAAATATTTTTATTTGCTTCCAGTAAAGTTATTTGTTCTTGCTTTAAAGCTTGGCTTAAATCCCTAAGGGTTGCATTTCCTTCAGTAAGTCCATCAATTTTTTTGCTATATGAGCAAATCATTGAAGACATATCCTTCTTCTCTGAATCCCATGTTCCAGACATGAGCTTCAGCTGTCTTACTGAATCCTCAAGCAATTTATTATTGATCTTTAAATCCTGAAGCTCAGCTTGTTGGTTTTCTAATGTTTTGTTCAGAGTCTGCAGTTGCAGGTCCTTTTCCTCAAGAAGAGCTAGAATTTTTTCAGCTATTTTCTGATACATTGAAATATATACTTGCAAGTTACTGATTTGCTGTTCAGTTTGTGTCACACAGCTTTTGTGTATCTGTTCTACTGCAAATAGTCTTTGTTTTGTTTCACTCTTTATTTGCACTACGACTTTGTACTGCTGCTGCTGATTTGAATCCTGCTGCCTTTGAGCCCCTAAGGAAATCTCAAGAGAAGATATCTGCTCTTGCAAATTGGCCAGATCTGTAGTTTTTCCTACTTCTAGGAGAGCTCTTGCACATCTGTAATCCTCAGCATTTGAGTTATTTGTTGCAAGTTTCTTGGTGTCTAGAAGAGTTTTATCCTGACCACTTTGTAAGTTAACTTCTCTGTCTTCTGTCATTTCTGAAGTACCTCTTGCTTTTACAAGACAACAGATTTTTTCATCTTCACCAAGCAGGTCATGATAACATTGCTCCCTTTGCAGTCCTTCACTTGCTGCTAACTGTAACTTTTCTTCTACTTCACCAACTTGGTCTGTAAGCTGCAGTGTTTTACAGGACCTATTTTCTATCTGTTTACAGTACTTTCTATCAGAACATTCTGCTTTCTGCTTAAGTTCATCAAAAGCTTTTTTTGGTTCTTCTAATTCTGCACTTTTATATTCCAGCATGTCTTTAAGATCTCTAATCTCTGTGGTTTTGCTGTCACTTTCAGCTTGGATCATTCTGAGTTTCTCACTATGCTCATGATTTTTGATTTGCTGACTTTGAAAGGAACTCTCCAAGTCATTAATACGAGGAATCATAGATTGAAGTCTGAAAAGAAAGCTATTTATAAGATGATGAGTTGCATTTTTCCATTGAGAAAGAACAGCAGCCTCTTTTTGCAATTCTTCATATTCTCTCTGTTTGAAACCAAGGAGCCTCTGCAAAGCTTCTGATTCTTCCTCCATTTGACTTATTTTATAGTCTTGTTCTTTAATATGATTATCTTTTTCCTTGAGCAACTCTTGGGTAGAATCTTGTTGCTTTTCCATGTCAACTAAAGCTATTTGCAGCTTCTCCAATGAAAGGGAGCTCTCTTGTTTTTTTAATTTCTCTTCCAGTAACTTCAGCTCTGCTTCCTGAAAAGAATTCTTATCTGTAAAAGAAAACATCAAACCTTTACCAGTCAATACTGCCAATTCTACTGATTATTTTCTAGATGAAAAGTATAACTATTTACTTTTACTATTTTCAATTATCATTTTACTGCATTTACCTTAGACTATCAGACACTATGTACTCAGACATTGTTAGCTTTCTGCTCCATAGCTGGATAGAAGTCCACACTCCAAGCCAGTCAGTCCTTAATTCTCACCAGTTGTGCCTGTATCTCGCTTTCACCAAAATTTTATAAAAAGAAGTACTGCTTTTTTGTGGGTGGTTGTTTTTCCTTTTCCTTTTTTTTTTTCTTTTTAAACAGGACAAATCTCATTCCAGTATGTGACATTCTTGCGGGTCAGTCTTTGATTCATTTCAAAACAGTGTGTCTTCAGGAATTGTACATGTTCATAGACAAAAATTCCTTTACCTTTACAACAAACTCAATGTTGAAAACACCAATCATATCCCACAGCAGAAATATTTTACTTAATTCACAATGAAAGTTACAGGACTGCAGGAAACACACATCATTAAACATGCAAAAGGAGTTCTGAAAATTTGAATTCATAACTTACTTTTCATCTCTTCTGCAAAATTCTGACTTTGCTTTAGAGATTGCTTGATTGTATTTAGTTCTTCTTCAAGCTGGTGGATCTCTTGCAGTTTCTTACCAAGCTGACAGTCAAGAAGATTTTTCTCCTGCCTCAATTTCTAAACCAAAACCAAATAAGACCACATTTCATGTAAATTGCCAAGGAGATCAAAGAATTCAGTTCATTTAAACCAGAATAAAGATATTCCATTAGATCCTATTAAGTCTTTGGGCTGCTATGCCTTGGTTCCTAAGCACTGCTTGGGAACATAAACATAACTTTTTATTCTTAACTAACTGACAACATCTGAGAGACGCTGCCAGTTGACATAGTCAGCATTCCCCTTGTTGGCATAGTGCAAACAGCTCCACACGACCTGCCCCAAACTGATAGTGACAGGACACGACAGAGCCTACAAAATCTGACCTGATGACGTTCAGCTACTTTCTCAAAGCAGCTAAGTAAACAAATCCCTGCAATGGCATTAAAATTAACATGAAGTGTGTAGATCAGATTTCACCTATCATCTCATGTAGAGACAAGCGCTCTTTCTACTGAACATCATCAACATAGCAACACTTATCAAATCTTCTTTAGAAGTCCTTAGACTTATAGACAGTTTTGCCATTAATAGCATTTTCTTCCAAATAAATTGATTTCAAAAAAAACCACACAAAAAATCCTCCAACAAAACAACACACTCCCCCCCAACAAATTGTGTAACTATATTGCAACTAGGAAGCCAAATAAAAGTTCAGGAAACTAATCCATTTTCTCCAAACTCCTGTGTTCTGGACAACAGATGGCATGGAACTGGCATGGCCCAATTGGAAACAGATCGTCAATTATTCATCCGTTTACTACTAGCAGATGGGCACCAATTCACAAAAGCCAAGCTCAAGAAATGGAAAGGTCTGCATGAAAAAAACTCAAAGCTTCCTGGCATGGCAGGCTTGTTTTTGCAACAACACAAATAAATCACCCTCAGAACATGATTAAAATTGTCATTGTCACTAACAGTTACCTTCCTTTCTACTCGTAGCCTTCTCTACACACAGTTCAAAAAAAACAAATCCAGTGATATATAAATTTCAATGAATAAAGTTTGAGCAATCTTAATTTTTCAAAGTACAAACATTCAAACTGCTTGGAATCAAAGCATCACATGCAGATGCAACACAAGTACATGAATTAAACAAGTCTGTCATTAGAAAATCCAGAGTGCTCTATGGAAAGAAAAACAAACAAGTTTAAAGAATTAAAATGGCTGGAAGGTCCAATTATTTTGATCTGATGTAAACATTCCTAATAAAGAGCACTCAGTATAATTTGATCGACTAAGTATCAGATAGTAACTAGCCATCTACACTTTCCAAAGCTATAAGCAAAAGAATCAGTTTGGTTTTGATACAGTTATTGATTCTACTTTTATGTTGCATTACTCAAGTTAGTCAGTCTGCAATTGTCTCCTGGAAGAGCAAAAACCAAACCAAAACAAACTCCAGAACTCATATACAGATACTACTGTTATTCTGAAGAAAGGCTTCATGGGGCAGGATTATGAGTAGTTCAGGTACTGACTGACCAATTTTTCCAAGAATAGTTATGGACTTGTTTACACCATCAAAATGTAAACCATATGCTAAGATGCCAGAACCACAAAGCTATTGAGATATCACTGCTACAAAGCAGTCCTTAGACTAAGACTTGTGAGACATACAGGATATGCTATCTGGTTTGCAATGTTTTTGGAATACAGTCAGGACTAAACACAGCAGTGGATCAACCAGCAGAGAACAACTATATTTGCCACTGGATACTTCAACTATTAGTATAAGACTGCAATGATTTCCCTTTAATAAAGGGGGAAAAAATATCAATCTCACTCTTGTTTTCTTTTCCTGTATACAAAATCTGCTGTCAGCAAAGCCTCAGTCTTCAAAACAGTTAGATGAAATTTTTCTGCAATATACTTATTTATGAGAGTAAAGAAGGCACAGTTATGCCCTAAATCCTGCTCACACATATCAAGCTTTTTCCATGTGTGACTCTCAAGATAGAGAACTGCAGTGCTACTGATCTCTTCAAACATTACAATCTCTCCCAGATTAAGCCTGTTTACAAATTTATTTGTCATCTTCTAACACATCATCACTGTCAACAGCTGTTCAACTATGACCAAGGCAAGAAATACGAAGAAAAAAAATCTGACTATAGTTACAGTCTAGTAAGATGGATGCAAGACTGGTAGAAAAAATGAAGCATTTATAAGAAATTACAGAAAAAGATTTCCACAAAATAGATGCTCTGAGACAATGGAATCTCAGAGAACTATATCAAATCTACAATATCCAATATAAACTACCTTCTTTTCTTTTTTCTAAAAATACAAAAGAAAACTTGATGGAGCCTTTCCTCCTCTGCAGTACATTCAAAGAACAAAAATTATCTGGATTAACTTTACAGCTGAAAGTATTGGTTATATTTATTTACTAAATAGGTTTCAAGGCCCTCTATCTGGCATCAAGGCCAAATGGCATGGAACAGCCCAGATCTGTACTACTAAAGTCTTCTATTTTTCAAAACAGGTGGCTCTAACCAAACCACTTGCTGGGAAGGTTCCCAGGCTCACATGAACTCCCAAACTGTGCCTGGGAATTGTATCAAAGAGTGCTAGTCAGCTGGGCCAAAGCCATGCAAAGTGCTGTTCTAACAATAGTCACATTCCAATAGCTGGGAATGTTCCCAGACATTGCAATCTAACAGCAAGAATGTACCTAAAGTTTCATACTATACTAAACCTGTATTAATGTTTGAGCTGATCTGAAAAAACCCGACTATTACACTTTGAATTTGTGCATAGAATTTTGACAGGTAAGTTTTTGGCAGAAACTAAGACAGGTAATTTTATATTTGATGATAACAGGCAACAACCAAAATGAGAGTGTTTAAATAAAACAAACTGTGACATGGATTACATAGGTATCAAGCTCTCTACTTCTGATTCTCCAAATAAAGGATAAAACTTGCATCCAGAGGTCTCTAGTGGCAAAACTGTAACAATTTCAAGTGCAGCTGCTCTAATTGCCACCAAAGAAAAAGAATCTAACTGAGAAGAAAAAGGAGACATTAAAGTGAAAAGGTTATGCATGTGTGAGTATGAGGCTGCATGACAGCATCCAGAAACTTCTCTGCATTTTTCTTCATTTGGGGAAAAGGTTTACAGCACAGTATATATGTTGGACTGTGTCTCTTCTAAGGAAGATGTATTTTTGGGTTTTTTTGGGTTTTTGGTTTTTTTAAAGGAGAATATAGTAAGTCTTTGTAAAAAATTGCTGAGTTTACAAAAACCTATTTTTGATAAAAGGTAAGTCCAACATGAACTAGAACCATATCAGCAGCATTACAGCAAGGAATCCTAACCACACAGCCAATTCCACAAATTGCATTAATTTACAGTACATTAGGGAAGGCCTCATTTTGTGTTACAACTAAGATACTTTATTAAGATAATCCATAGAAGTGTTTAAAGATTGCTTATGGGAAAATACACTGTGTGAGTAAGTACTCAGCAGTATTAAGTGTTTAAAATTTGCTAATTTATGGTATTTAGTGCTGTCACATACTCCTCTGCGTTGGTTACCTCAAAGCTTTTCACCAGATCAGATTCCTTAGCCTGGGCTGCTAATAGACCCTGCTCTGCTCTGCACAGCTTCTGGGTGAGATCACTGGTATCCCGTTCCAAGCGTTGTTTCACTGCCACTACCTGTAAGAATGTTGAAAATCAGCATTATATTCACAGGCATTTGTAACTTTTGTCTTTAGACTTCCACCCTTGAACTCAAACATTCTATTTCAAAATGAATTTTTGTCATATTTTATCCCACTATGAACTAAAAGTTGCTTTAGTGTTGTTTAGAAAAGAGCTGCTTATCGCCTTTCCACTCCTTTGCCTCCGACCAAAAAGATGATTTGACTCTAAAATACATACATATATATATATATATATTTCTAGACTGCCTGAAACCAAATTAAAGCATCCAACTTGCAACTACATCACCACAATGATATCTGTAGGATACAGCTGAGATTGGAAACGTAATAGCCTTTTTGCTAAGATATGTGAATCAGAAAGTTAGGATCATAACTACACTTACTGCTCCATTGACACAGATTTTATAAAATATGAACAAGTTTTAGCTCTTTCAAAATAGTCCTATAACACTCCAGATTAAAAAGGAAGAAAATGCCATTATGAGGTCAAAAAAAAAAAGTCTATTCTGAGGTCTTCAGGAAATTAGCTTTTCTGGAGAAAGAACTAAAAGGCACCTATTTTTCTCTCCATGAAATCAATTTCTTCAGTAAGCATATACAATAGCATGTGCATATAAAGAAGCCTCCACTGAAAACATTTGACTGAGTGTTTTCCCATGGCTATATTTCTAAAATAAAACAAGCCTATAAGAAAGCTGTTGGCAGTTTTAGAAATGCTGTTTCAGTTCAGGCTGCCTACAAATGGGGCTTCTCAATGTAACTTTCAAGAATGTGTGGTCCTTTTTGGAAATTCAGTTAGCTCTACTGCTTGAGAGCTGCTCTAAAGAGTTTTTTGAGGCTTTTAACCATTCCTCTCTTCTAGTCACTCACTCTCAAGGCTTGTGCTGCTTTTTAACTTCCTTAAAATTGTGGGCTGGTGACAACTAATGTGTTCTAATAGCTAGCTGCTGCTAGAGCTGTGCAAGATCTCCTTCATACTGAAGTTCCTCCTTACACTCAGTTCAGGGAGTTAAACTGATGTAAACACTTGGGTGAGTATACTCATATTAATTTATATACAATATTTTATTTGCTCTTTTATCTCCTTTATCAGCTCTCTGCAGGATCACATGAGGGGTGGCACTGCTAAAACAGAAGTACCAGGGCTGCCTGGCTGAGATGCATGAAGTGGGGCTGTTTTTCCAAAGGACAACCACCTGTCAGTCAGTTCAGCTCTCTCACCAAACTGCACTTCTGCACATGTTTTATATAAAGTGTCTCTTTTGATCAGGCTTAGCTGGCTTCTCTCACAAAGATTTATCGTAGCTGCACTGTCTGCATTTGTGTCTCTTTTGATCAGGCTTAGCTGGCTCCTCTCACAAAGATTTATTGTAGCTGCACTGTCTGCATTTACATCTCCTCCCTGGGGGAAGTGGACTAACCACAAACTTTTAAAAGCTTGTAATCCACATTTCAATACATAGTATTTCAGAGACAAATGGTAAATGCAAAACAGCTAACACAAACTATGTAAAAGAAAATTCATATAAGTCTCCACATTAATTATTTTTTGCTTTCTGTATAATTAAATGAAGACAGTACTGTTAAAACAACTGAATACCAGCTCTAGCAGAAGATTTCAATATTTAAAAAAGGCCTACTTTGTCAAATTCTGCCTGCAGAACACTGAAGTCATTTTTGGCTTGCTGTAGTTCCTGATTCAGTTTGCTTCTTGTCTGGTTGAACTGCTGATCCAGTGTTTGTAAGAAACATTGCTGACAAGAGAGTTCCTAGAAGACAGTGGTACAGTAGCAAATAAACTCAGGCCTGCAACAAGTCTCTGTTTTGATAACTGGAGCAATAATAACTGATTTTTATTAGAAGATATTGCCTGCTCAGAGACACTTGTCTTACACAGCAGACAACAGTTTAAATCCAGCTTTGATTGTTGCGTATGTGACATTTGCAGCATGAATCTATGTCATCTGATTAAAAAACTTAATTACTGCAACATTCCTATCACAGTATAGGGAAAAAATTAATCTAAAATTAGAGAAAGTAATAGTGTTAAAATCTTTCATATTAAAGGTAAGTTTCATATAAGAATTACATCACAGTACAGGTATACATATTATCTCTGCTATTACTTACCATATTATAAGGTTGATTTTTTTCCTCATTAAAATATATAAATAGTCTTAATGCCTAGCACAGGACTAAGCAACAAGATAATCTTAGCAATAAGATAATCTTACAAGGGCAATCACGAAAGCTGTACAAAAATTAGTGTTTCCAAACCAGACTTCCTGAAATCTGTAGAAGGACAATATAGTTCATGTGGATCTTACAACATGCCAAGTAGGCATCCAGTAGGATAAATGGCTGTACTTCTCATTTCTAATGAGGTCTTTTGCTACACCCTTGGAACTTAGCACTGATGCTGCACAGATTTCAGAGGTTTATCAGGATGTAAAATAGTAAGTAGCACAAGGGTAATAAAAAGCAATGAAGGATAAAAACAGGACATTTATCAGCAATAACAGCTATGCAAAAACTGCAATATGCTCTGCTAACAAATTCTAAGATCCTTGTGCAGGGGAAGAGGCAATAAAGCTCTTGTGTTTCTCTTATTAGAGTACAGTTAAGGTACCTCCATGCAGGCAAGATGCTTCACTAGAAGACAATACCATGTTGTCAATAGTCAAACAAAATAAAACAGAGGAAACAAAAAAAAAAAAGAAAGGAAGTAAACATTCACAGTGAAAGAGCTAGAGCTGGCATTTTTTGCAATGTGGCTCTGGCTGCCAGGTGCATGAACCCACTGCACACAAGTCAGTGTATTTTAGTCAGTCATGTCTGTGAAATAATATGAGCACCTCTTACATTCTGCTCAAAACCAGCACAAGAGACCCAAGCACTTCCTACAACAGTAAGACATTCAGTAAACAAACAGCTCATGTTTATCAAGGAAAGGAGGGATGAGTATGAAACTGTCAAACAGAAAACCCATAAAGATCAATGTTTATATATATAAATTTATA